CAATAAAAATTGAGCTCTGGATGAATTTTGCTTTAGATTCTTGATTGCTACCATATAAGCTAACATGCTTTTGAGCAAACTGATGGCAAATAAAATCGACAATATTTACACATTGCCATCGAATCAAGAAGATCAATTTTAAAGCGGATGCGAGTGATTTCATCTCGATATTGAAACAAAACTTATGTTTAATATGTCACTATGGTTGCAATCATGAAACTTATTCGGATCTCTTTGTTCACTCGTACAATGAAAGAATGGAATGAGTCAGATTTGTTTACAATATTCATCATTGATAACCTGAAAATCTTAGCGATGCTTTTTTTTCAACAATGTCATTTATTCGCAATCAATTCATGATTTAAAACCACATTGTAATAAGTAAAATAATATATAAATAGAATGAACAATTTCTCTTTCCTTTTTTCAATTTCTTTTTGTCTTTATTTCCGTCTTTTCGAAACAACAAATCTATTAACGGAAAGAAATATGATTGGCTGAGTATTCTTTCTATATTTACAATATATATATAGTGAAGAACTAGAACTTCAAGGGGGAAGACACCAATTCCAATAGAACGTTGTAATTGTGAGTAAATTGTAAATATTTAAAATCACTTTAAATAAATTCGATACTTTACAGTTGAGTTGCCGATGTATGCATGAATATCACATGCAATAATATAAAAAATAAATAAATTAAAGAATATAATATTATTTTCTAAATGAATGAATTCCAAATTGTCATGGTATTATATCTATTTTCAAATACGACAAATACTAACTTATTTAAAGATTATTTGTACTAAAAATGTGAATACCGTGATTACCAAATGTCAAATTGATATCGGTAATAAAGACTTCCAGTTTTTTTCCATTTCTACATTTATTGTAATTTTTTCTGTTTTCTTTCTGTTATTTTTATTAAAATTATTTGTGCATTTATTAAACCAATTGAAATCATACACTTAATGGCGTTGAAAAAGTTTTTTTTCAAAGGAGCGAGTACGACGTTTCCCCCTTTGCTAAGCGAAATAAATCCGATATACGGCGCTGATTTAAATGTCACTCTATGTCATTCCACAATGATACATTTTTTGGCTTGACAATATATAAGCTCTTCATTCAACATGCATAATTTTTGAACGGTCGAGTAAAAAAAAGAAACATATCATAAAATATTCTTCTTACGTTTATCATAAAAATTCTCTATATTTTAAATTTATTTGTTTAAAAATAACAATAATTTCAATTTTTTTTTTCATAGATTGAACAAGAATCTAATGTAAAAAGTAATACCAATGCGACACCTACCGTTAAAATAGAAAAGGAAACTTATTTGGAATTGTAACATTTTGGTCCGCCATAACAGCATCTTCGTTTTGCTTCTCTGTGATTGGTCAAGTAAAACGAAGATGCTGTCATGGTGGACAAACATGCTACAATGGATACCAACTAAGTTTCTTTTTGCATTTTTACGGTAGGTGTCGCATTGTCATTACTTTTTACATTGGATTCTTATTTAATCGATGAAACATGTTTTGTTGAAATTATTGTAATTTATAAACAAATTAATTTTTTTATAAAAAAATTTTTTTAATAAATTTTTCAATGAAAAATGTTAGAAAAATATTTTATGACATGTTTTTTTTTCAACGATTCAATAATTATGAATGTGTATGCATTTTAAATGAAGAGCTTATATATTGTTAAGCCAAAAAAGTATTATTGTGAAATGACAGAGTGACATTTACATCAGCGCCGTATATCGAATTAATTTCGCTTGGCATAGGGGGAAATATTTTGACAGATAGTACTCGATCCTTTGGTAGATAATATTCATATAGTGCACATTGTGATACGTTGCTGAATACATTGACATTTCGTCTAAAACTGAGAATACCAAGAATACCTTCAATTTCGGTGAATATCTCTACCCCCTAGAGTTTGATGCTTTGATTTCATGCTGTCAAATAACTTATCAAACCGATTCAAATCAACTCATATAAATCCCAATCCCATTGAATTCTATGAATAGCGCTTTCCCCCTAGATATAGATATAGTCGAATATTCTATACAGCAATAGTAATACAAAGAAAGAAAAAAATGAAATTGTACGTCATCTTCAAAAATAAATAAATAAATACACGCTATATAAATATAATTCGCAATATCGAGAGCGCAATCAGGTCGAATTCAAAGCATGAATTGAATAAAAAGCAAATATATCTATATATATACACGGAGGCGAGGAGCGAGTCTCTATATGTTATAACAGCGAAAGAATAAAAGAATAACAGAAAAATATAAGCTTCTTTAACAGATTTTTCATTTCTTTTTTTCTTCTTATTCTTCTTTCAGTGACTTTTAAAAGAGGCTTATAAACGACATAAAATCAATTTTCTTGGAAGCGCGCAAAACTTATGTCCCTGCACATTGACTGATGGTCTCTCACAAGAGACAAAAAAAGAAACGAAAATAATAAAAGCGAAATGAGATAAAACAATTTGATGTAGCGAATGGTTTGTGAATTGACATACCGCATAAGAAAAAGCTTACAGAGAATAAAAGAAAATTGCCAGTTTCGCAATCGTAGATGAGAAGCGAAAGTCACCAAGTCACGTGAGATGAAAACTAAAATGTCTGTAGTACGAATTTATCATGTAAATAGGTGCGGAAAATGAATGGCATTCATCAAATGGCATTTTGTCAATGATTCGACACTGAATTTATTTTAACAAATACCATTGTGATTTTCATCGGAAAAATTACAAATGAACTTTTTTTTTCTCAGTGATAAATTCATAAACATGGAAGTAAGTACCAATATAGAATATAAAATAGTTGATATTGGTTGTGTTGCTGATCTGCATCCCGTATATAATACAGTTGTACATAGCACGATCTTTGAATTTAATGAAACCTTTTCAATTTGATTTTGTAATTTTCATTTCAGTTGCAGCATCGCATCATTTGCATGTCAAAGAGGTCGCAATTTCATTATTCGTGTTATTTCTGTCATTTTTCAACATACATACGTCCATTTTCAACAAGTTTTTTTTTCTCCTGTTGCTCCAAACAATAATCAATTGGGACGAGACAACGATATGTATTTGTCAAGGAAACCCAAACAAATACTATTTTCATTCGGCAATAAACGTTTATTCATCTCAATGGCGTTTCATTTTGATGGTAAATGAATTGGATTCCGTGTTTGTATTGATTTCGTTTTCAGAATATGTTGTTGACTTATCTTCGTGTCAAGCATTCACAAACCGATACATATATGATTCGCAACGAAATCTCGTTCCATGGTGGCGCTTTATCTATTGATTTGTGAATGTTCACTTCTTGTTCAATGTTCGCTTATTTTCGGTTTCGCTTTCACTTCTATCCTGTTTATATTCTAAGCACCCCCTCGCTCTCTACACCACGTCGAAGTGACGAGAAAGCACAATTTATTAAACCTATCTCTATTCAGTTAAGCTTATTTTTTTTTCTCTGTAACATCATCAAATAAGCATTACAAATATGAATTCAGGATGAGAAAGATTTATGCTATCTCTTCTTTCGACGAAAAGTACGTATGATGCACAGTAAAATAACATACGCACCAAATTATGACAAAGACAACAATCAACATGTAATATCAAAAGTCTTACTTATTGTAATGTGATATCGCCAACTGCAATTACAAATAATATTATATCTCATTTTTAGCGATCATAATTTTGGGTTGTGCGTCTCGAAAGTCAATTGACAACTGACATAATGTGCATTTGGTATGCTTCACCAAATTAGACTTTCGTTTTATATTATGAGTTATCTTTAGACGTCTGAATATGTTCCTTCATCCGTCCATCTTTTTCAACGGCTCAATACGTTTTATATAGCTTAATGGAAGAGTTTTCGGCGAGCAAGACAGTCAGTGCCATCTGGATTTAGTGTTTTTATTTATAAAAATCTTATAAAAATAATTCATAGACCATAAAGATACCCATAAATTTATCCAAATTGTGATCAATGCGCCACCTACATTTAATAAATAAAATCAACAATTCTCTCTCTCTCTCTCTCTTCTGGGTGTATGTACACCTGATGTACATCAGATGTCAAAAAAATTGAATTGTAATATTTTAGCATGAATTCGTGACAGCAAAACTGGCAAATTTCATTGAATTTTTTCATTTTTTTTCTCGTCGGCCTCTTCTATTTTACGTATGTGTACGAAATGATATTTGTATATTCCTGTATGCAACGAGGGAACATTTATAACGGCATTAGAACTGAGCAAATATAAGAAAGCGACATAATAAATCATATGGAGTCATTATTCTTCGTTTTATCACCGGAGCCGAGTGTAAAGCACTTCATTACTGATGATAACGTCAGGAGCAATGACATATATACGTATATTCGTGTATGTTCTTCATCTTTTTCTTTTGTTCTCCTGCGATGCTTATTCTTGGAGCTGAGTACTATTTAAAAAAAGTGATCCCATAGATAGTTCGAAACACAATGAATTTCGCTATTATAGTCATTTCCGCACAATACGTGCTGTAAAAAAGCTAACAATAAATTAAAATCGATTTGTAACGGGAATTTCAATCGCCATCTCAGATCACAGAACCGTTAGCGAGCAATACACATGAAGAAAAAGACAATCAAACAGAAAGAGAACGCATTTTTGTTACTTATCCATAAAGTGTTGGCACTTACAAGCTACGCTGAATTTTTGTTTTAAGTTTCGTGCTTATTTATTATTTTGCAAACGATCTCGATTACATCACATTGTGAAAATGGCACTGTTAAAGCTTTCTGTTCATTTCATTATGTGATTTGTGTCATCGTTACCATGTTCCATTGTTCAAACAGCTTTAAATATTTAACTCGAAAAATGTTGGTCAACAAAAAATGATTAACGACAATTTCGAAAGCATTCGATGAAATGAAAAAGAAATATCCTTGTCAAAAAAATGAAATAAAAAAAATGCGAGGAGTTTATATTTTTAAGTAAATTTTTATTTAACTTCTACTCGGTTTTGTTGTTATTTAAATTTTTTGGAATCAATTTACGAATATTCTTCATTTAGATGCGAATAAATTTGGATTGAATATATTTCATGTTTGTTTGTTATTTAGATAATACGTGTGTTTTTGTGTGTTGTCTTATATTATGAGCTAAAAAATTTCAACTGGAATTGAATCAGTAACATAGAGCACATTGAATTGCTAAATTTATATGTTCACTTTTATTTTAAATTATTCATTTTATTTTGTTTTCAATAAATATTTGGAGAATGCTGTCAAATTGTTTCAGATTTAATGTTTACATTGATATAATGTTCAATCTACGAATCGGTTTGATGAGATCAGACATTGTATTGAGATATTTTCCGGCAGCTGATTCAGCTAACGTCAGACGCTGAAATGGAGTGAAAACAATAGAAGTGATTGCTATAGTGATGGACAAAATCAAAGTATTTTTGTAACTCTAACCATCGTTTCGATTGTTTCCACTCCATTTCAGCGCCTGACATTAGTTAGTGACAGACAATATATTTGGATTTTGTCATCTGGATATTTCAGTTCATCTGGATAACGTTAGATCAACATACGGAGTGAAAACAATAGAAGTGATTGTTATAGTTATGGTAGTATTTTATACCTATACATCACTTCTATTGTTTTCACTCCGTATCATCTCCCAACGTTATCCAGATGAACTATCTAGATGACAAAATCCAAATATATTGTCTGGTTAGTGATTCAGCTGCCTGAAAATATCTCAATATAATGTCTGGATGAGATACAGATTTTTTTATTCTTTTATTTTATTTTGGATTTTTGGTCTTGATTTTGGTTTGGATAAAATTCGGATAAAGATATCATTGTATTGGTAGAATCAGTTTAAGTTAAATGTTATTTGATTGACGTGTAAATAGGATATAGATTTAAAATGTTTGTATTCATATGCCTAGCAAATGACATGATATTTTTGCGTTCAAAAAAGGTAGCGGTGTTTGTGTGTGTTTATGTGTGTCGGTGCGATTGGATTTGCGGTTGAATGCTTTTGGGGATTATTGTAACAATATCCCATGTGCAAAACAACAAATGCATTCGACGCCTATGACGATAGTTGATTGGTTCACTGTTGTGTCTTGATGCTCTCTGGAAAAAAGAAATGAAGTGTTTGTGTGTTTATGTGGTGTTATTTGCATGATGATTTCTCCTCTTTCTTCTAACATTTTAGACACCACGATATTTCCGAATCAACATCGCCCAAACATCGGGATAACGTGTCTGTAAGAAGTTCGTCAATTTCTGAGCATTTTGCGCCTGCTGTGGGGAACAATTGCGACAATTCCGTAATATGACTTCGGGCAAAGCGGCTGAAAATATATACAAACAAAAAGAACGTGATGAATAAAAAATATGTTGAAGAATGAAAAAAGCGTTTTTTTATGCGTACAATTTAAAAGTCACATGGATATAAATTCATATATCCAGTGTGTGTTTGTTACGGTGTGTTGCAAAAAGAATTGAAAATAATTTTTCATTATTGACATTTTACATATGTTTGATGGGAATTTTATTCGATTCATAGCTCGACAAACAACAATGAAAACAAAAAGCAGCATTTCACAATTTACCACACGAGAGAAAATAAAGCAAACAAACACAAAATTGCTCTTAGAGCGAATGTGATTTCACTGGAAATAATTTCAGGAAATTCAACACAACACACATACACAAACAGTAGAAAATTAATTTGTGTCTTATTGTATTGTTGATTTAACGTTATAAAGAGAGAGAAAAAAAATATGTGCCAACTACAAAAGTGAAATGGAAAAAAATGTATATGATATATCATAAAACGGCAAAGGCACAAAAAGATAGACAATTGCATGGAATGTGAGTGTGTGATGGTTTCACAATGATTGAATGAATCTGCTGGGAATTTCTCGAAATGCCATTTTGATTCAACAGACAGATCCTTCGAAATCGTGACATTCAATTGAGTGCCTGTATATGGTATTTGTCTCGTTTGTTGGGCGTTTTTGGCAAACAAAAATGGTTTCATTCTTCATGCTTTATCAATTTTATTTTTATTAATTTTTTTCCGCCCTTTTTCGTTTGTCTCTATTACTGGTAAGTTTGACTTATTGTTTGACTGTGCGTATGTAAGAGTGGTGGTCCTTGGTGTACGTTTTGATTTTATATGTGTATTTGTATGTGTGGCATCCGTACGCATTCATTTATTTGATATCTTTTTCTGGTTGGCGCTTATCAACTGACAATTGAATATAGTGTATTGTGACACGATGTGACCTAAACGATGATTCATAAAACAATAGATCGCACGAATACACACACTTATAATCAAACGTTGGCTCATGTTTTTGTTTTCATTTCAAACACATTTACGCTTCAGCTGTATTGAATAATGTAGGAAAATCACGGTCGACCACATGCGTCATGTAGCTGAATTGCTCATATCGTTTGTTGTGTCGAATCGATGGGATATCTCGGTAGGTAGAGGAACGAAAATGTATTGACCGTCAAAGGACCGTAAAAGGGAGAATCGACAGAGTATGAATGAAAATGACGACAAATCGATTGATGTGACGATATATTTATATCGGCACAGGCACGGCGATTTTTTTTTAAAAGAACTGTAACGAAGTGTATATCTCAATGGCAATAAGGTGACAATTGCAAGCAGTGAATAAAGTTAGGCAATTTCTTTTTTGCTTTTCACATTTTTTCCCTCGTCGTCTCTGATGAGGCTTCTGTTTCTTTTGTTTTCGTTTGTTTCTTCTCTTCTATTCATTTTTCGTTTGGCCACATTCACGAGTGTTCGTAAGTTTTGAATCGACAACAAATCTTCCTGCAGGCAATCGAGAATAATGGATGACAAAGCAAACAAAAATTCAACAAAAAAAAATATTTTCATCGTTGGCGACACCAACAGCAGCAACAGTGGCACGTTTCAAAAGATTCGATTATAGACACTGTCTGCTATTTTACTGCCAAGTGTAATTTTCGTTCAAATATCTTTTTGACGTTATACTTATACGAGGGTTGCTCCATAATTTTTTTTAAAAACATATATAACACAGTTGTTTTTTGTCGAAAATGGTTTTATTGTTTTTCAAAATATTCCCCGAGATGATCGATACACTTTTGCATTCGATGAAACCATTTGTCATAGCATTCGTGCCACTCCGAAACTGATATCTCCAAAACGTGTGTTTTGAACGCTTCAACTGCTTCTTCTGGTGTCGAAAATCGTTGACCACGTAGTTTTTTCTTCACGCTTGGGAACAAAAAAAAGTCATTGGGTGCCAGGTCAGGACTGTACGGTGGATGACCCATCAGTTCGATGTTTTGACCGGTCAAAAATCGAGTAGTTTGAAAAGATGTGTGAGAGCTCGCATTATCGTGATGAAGAATTATTTTGCGACGGTGGTTGTTTTTTCTTATTTCACCAAACACTTCGGGCAAACAAATGGTGGTATACCAATCAGAATTGACGGTCTTACGATCCTCTAGTGGAACGGTTGCCACATGACCACTTCTCCCGAAAAAACAGGCGACCATTCGCTTCGAAGTGCTTCTTGCTCGAACAACTTTCGTTGGGTTATCTTCATTTTGGAAGACCCATACAGTCGACTGCTGTTTCGTTTCGGGCTCATAGGCATATATCCACGATTCGTCACCAGTGACGATTTTATTAACGTCTTTTGAAGCACCACGATTGAATTTCTTGAGCATTTCTTTACACCAACTCACACGAGCCATTTTTTGTTCATCGGTCAATTTATGTGGGATCCAACGAGAGCAAATCTTTTTTACGGCTAAATGTTCATGCAAAATTGTATGTATGCTGTGGGATGAAATGCCCAAAGATGCCTCAATCTCACGGTAGGTCACATGACGATCTTCCATAATCAGTTTTCTGACAGCATCGATGTTTTGTGGCACAACAGCCGATTTTGGACGACCTGTATGAAACTCGTCTTTGAGCGAACTACGACCGCAACGGAATTCTCGGTACCAGTTATAAATTGTCTGAAGGGTTGGTGCTTCATTGCCAAAGGCCAAATGAAGTCGATCGAAACACTGTTGTTGAGATAATTTACTTCGAAAATCGTAGTAAATCATTTTACCAAAATCTTCACGTGTAAAATTCATTTTTTCGTTGAGTCGCAGTTTACCAGTCACTGTAAACAATACAAATAGCGTTCGTACGACAAAAGGTTCAGGGCACGAATACATACCAAAACATCAAACTTTACGAATATGACAATGGTTTACATCGGGCAACACTATAAGTACCATTTTAAAAAAAATTATGGAGCAACCTACGTATGTATCAATGTGTGCACAGTTTTTCGTTCACTCGATGATAACCTCTCTTGCTTTATCAATGGCTCTTCAAACCGATAAAATCCCCTTTTTTCACACTGTCTTGCTGTGTTATTCATGCTGTGAAATCATAATCATACCTATTGAATTTATTTGACACTAAATTGTGATGTTATCGAAACATGTTGACGCTGAACATTTTTAATCAAAAATTAAATGTCAGAAGAATTGTATCGATGTTCGATCATATAAAGATGCAACCGCCTAATATACTAAAAATGTTAACCGCGTTATCGGCTTTCGTCGACAACTTTAAGCGTTTAAGCTTGCCAAAGAAGCTATTTGAATTTTTGGAAAATGGTTGATTTAATTGCCTAACTTTAGGATTATATATGTTTGTATTGGCTATGTAAGCTTCACTTAAATTGTGTTTGTTCCGAGAAAGAATAAAAGAATGGATTCGTATGCGAATGTTGAATGTAAACATTGCTTGCACGATTCTGATTCAGTGGAAAATACATGTGTAAATATACATTAAAATTCTTTTCATCTATTTTGATGTTTGCGTGGCAGACTTGAAAAAGCAAAAATGTGCGATAAGAATGAAAAAGAATGTAGACGGTAACCAGGATTAAATCTAGAGCAGATTTTAAATCTCTTTTATAAATACAGACAATGTTGAACGTCGTTGCTAGCCAAATGCCATGCAACAAACAATGAAACAGCAGCTCAGTCACCTATCATACTTTATCGGATGTGCTGTTTTTCATTATTTCGCTTTTGCGATCATTTTTGTTTGTTCAAATACATTCGGAAAAATCCCGTCATCAAAAATAATTATGTTTATTCAACAGCTAATGCGTCCTGCCTTGCGAAGAAATATAGTAATTATTTGACTTTCTTTCGCTTGGTTTGTGTTCGTTAAGCACATTTATTATTTTTTGACCGAATACAATGAATGATATAGGTTTGCTATCTTTCGTCGTATTATCGATTGTTCAATGTTAAGTTATGAAAGTGTCATCATGAAAACCATATAATAATGACTATTTTTGTGTCCAAATAAAGAAAATGAAGTTTTCGGTTTTACACCATATACAATAAAATTTTCGATGTAGATATCCATTGGTTTCCTTTTTTCCTTTCAGGCATTGTTTACCAGTATTTTGTTTTTGTAATCAATAAAAAAAACCTGGTTTTGTTTGTTCATTCCTTTTCATATATGTATACATTTAAAAGAGTTGTAGTGAAAGAGAACCAAAACGGGAAATCCGTACAGATAACACCCTTGATTACAAATAATCATTTATGGCATGTAGAGTTTCTCCGTCAATGGAAGCCTCTCGTGCCACTCGGTGGCATTGAGTAATGTAGTTTTTCTACCACAATTATGTCACATAAGACACAATACAAAATACAGCAATGTTGCGCAGCTACAGTAGATTTCATTTTCTGAATCATCAAGCATTTTTTTGTACTGACCGCTCATTTAGCAATAATAGCGCCAATATGTATATTGAGCTATATTGTATTTTCTCGAAAATTCATAAGACTCATAGCTTCTGACGGTGTCGATTCAAGAAAGATTTATTTCCAAAAATTCTCAAAAATGTAAATTGATGAGCTAAAAAGAGGTACTCACTTTTGAATTGATGAAACATTTTCAACAATTTGTAAATGGGGTTTTTTAAATCCACTCTCAAGGGGGTTAATTTATCCCCTCGGACCTCTGGTTGCTATGATAAGAGCCAACTTTTGTTGTGTAATTACTCCCTTAATATGAACACACAATGGACATTTTTTTATAGACTATTTCCATTCATTTTCATTTGTATTTTTAAAAAGTAAAAAATTGTCACAATTTTGATAAAAATTTAAGAACCTTGTGATGACACAAAATATCATATTCCTTGGCATACCTCATACGCAATAAGTGAGCTAAGTTGTGCTTTTTTTCGTCATGAACTTATCGCGTTTACTAAGATAATAAGATAAAAGGAATTCAAAACGTTTTTCCTTC